GAACAGGTCCAGTGGAGGGCCATGAAGATGATCAGAGGGCTGGAGCACCTCTCTTATGAGGACAGGCTGAGAGAGCTGGGGTCGTTCAGCCTGGAGAAGAGAAGGTTCAGGGAAGACCTTATAGTGGCCTTCCAGTACCTGAAGGGGGCCTGCAGGAGAGATGGGGAGGGACTCTTTATGAAGGAGTGTAGCTATAGGACAAGAGGTAATGGTTTTAAGCTGAAAGAAGGGAGATTTAGATGAGATATTAGGAAGAAATTCTTTCCTGTGAGGGTGGTGAGGCAGTGGAACAGGGTGGCCAGAGAAGTTGCAGATGCCCCATCCCTGGAAGTGTTCAATCCAGGCTGAAATGGTCTTTGAGCAACCTGGTCTAGTGGTAGGTGTCCCTGCCCATGGCAGGCAGGTTGGAACTTGATGATCTTCAAGGTACTTTCCAACTCTAACCATTCTACAATTCTATGATTCTGTGATTTCAGATGGGAACAGGTGCAAAATTAGGACCATTTAGGGAGGGGAACTTTTATTTTGCGTGAGGAGATTAGAAGAATTGGCTTATTCAGGCTTGTAAAATAAATTCTGATATATCTGCTGCCTATGAAAACAACAAAATCAGGGAAGGAAAAGAGCAATTCAAAGATAAAATTGGCAAAAGAATTAATGATTATACAACTTCTACAAAAAAATTCAGACTGGCAATCTGAAGACCATTCCAGATCATGAAAAGGATGAAATTTGGTAACTTTGTTTCCCCATAAAAGAGTGGATGTCAAAAAAGAAATTACTTTTAAGATGGAATGTGATAAATCAGAAAATGGAATTATGTGAAGTAATGGTGTAAGGATCCAGGAGATCCTAGTGAGTCCTATATATGTCTTATGGTCCTAGAGGGAGGGTTAATTCTTGACTACTGCTCAGCTGTAAAGTGGCATAACTTATTACAGTGGGGAGATGGAAGGTGAAAAACAACCATTACACAGAATTCCAAGAGATTTCTCTCTGCAGACAGGTCTCAGTGATCTCTATCCTACTCATCTATATTGTCCTGACTTTGTTATCAGAATTAAATTCAGTTGTAAGATGCATGGCTTTTTCCAGTAATTTTCATAGTCTTAGCCACAGCAATTACTGACAATTGTGTGTAGGTTCTGTAGTGTGCTTCACTACAGATTAGAGAAAGATTATATATGACAAGAAAAAATGTGGTGCATCTTCTATTTCCTTGCTTTCTCATACTTGCAAGCAAGACAAACCATATTGTGAACATTGACATACATGTTAGAAATTGTGAAAGAAGATAAAAACTTGAAGAGCCATGCTTTCAGAACGCAAGAAAGTCAGAAAGAGAAGTGTGTTTGTCTCCATTACTCTTCCTAGAAAGGCTGCTTAATTTTTGTGGTTTTTTTTTTGTAAGCAATTCTGTTCCATGTCTCCTAGTTATGCACCAGAGATGCATCCTCTGCGCAGAGTTAGGCAAGAGGGTGATTAGGATGCTGGTGACACTAGATGCCTTCTCTGCATTAGTTCTCCAGCTACTAATGGAACTGAGAAGCAAAAGTTTCAGTGTTTGAAAAGTTAGCAACTACATCTGTTGTGAGTTAACACTCATAGGCAGCTAAGCCTCACATGGCTTGCTCAGGACCCTGCAGCAATTGGAAGGGCAAAAATGAGAAAACCCATACATCAACATAAAGACAGTTTAATAAGTGAAGAAAAACAAACAAGCAAACAAACACACAAACAAGCAAGTGATACAAAAGCAATCACTCACCACTAGCTGACCAATGCTTAGCCAGTCCCTGAGCAATAGCCACCTTGCCCATTCCTTCCTCACTCACAGCTTTTACTGCGAGTCAATAATATCATGGTTTATGCTATAGTATATTTCTTTGGTCAATTCAGGTCCAGTGTCTTGGCCCTGTGCCATCCCAGCCTTTTGCCCACCCCTAGCTGCCTCACTGGGGCAGCAGAGTGAGAAACAAGAGAGGGCATTCATGCTGTGTAAATTCAAAACAGAGCAACACAAGGTCTGCTCTGAAGAAAATTAACTCCATTCCCGACAGACCCAGTACAATAACCCATTGCTAAAAGAAAAGACAAAACATTCCAGTGCTAGTGAGTGAGTGGCTCCTTTTTCTTTTCAGTGGGATTTGCTCTCCTGCATTGAGGGATTAATTGGATGAGGAATTAATTTGTTAATTTTGTTTTAAGGCATTTCTGCTTCAGTGATTATTTTGTGGCAATATGGTGGTAAGTTGATGTTTATGCAGCTTAGAATGTGAAGTAATATCTTCATTTGTCTACATTGTGGTACTAAACCTGGTGAGGCTTCATCATGGGTAGGCTGAACTTCCATTACTTTTGTGTGCTTAAAAATCCCAAAATAAGGCTGTTCACCCATTTACACCTTTAAGTCACTTCTATCACTCTCTTGCACCAGACCAATTACCCTTGTGCAACAGTAATGTACTGCCAAAACAATGTCTGTTGTAGTCATACAGAAAATTTTGCTTCTGCTATTTTAACTGAAATAGCACTTCACAATGAATAGGAAAGACAAGGTTACCTTCCTAAAAAGACAGCTGAATTTTGAAATACCACCTCAGTTTCTGTTTCCAGCAGAGCTAAAACTCGGAGGAAGCTGAGTGGAAACTTTTATTTGTTGCAAATTGTAGAGATTAATATAATGGAGTTCTTACCATATGGGGTAAGAACTTTCTGTGAGAAAGATTTGGGTGGTCCAGCCGTCATTTGAAGACAAATTTGTGTACAAGGGAGACTCTGGGATTTGTGTAAAATGCTTAACATGCTGTGAGATTTGGTGGCTGCTGGTACTAGTCATCAAAGTGCATAGCTCTTCCTTTAACAAGAATAAATTTCTCAAGGAAAACCCATGGGGCTTTCAATTCTCTGTTTCTCCTCTGCCTTTTCTGGGGAACCATCATCTGGCTTCTGGTGAGGATTTCCACACATAGCAAAACTTTTGCCTTGGAGGGAGTTTAGCTAAGTGTTAGTGCCTTAAAGATAAGCTCACAATTATTGCACTATTTTGAGCACTTGAGATGTACTGTAGGGAGAGTCTCTCCAGTGTCATCCAAGTCCCATGAACACTAGATTATTTTTAAAATTTTGATTATAAATAGAAGAATGAAATAGTATAAAATTGTGAATCTCATGTATGTCTTGTCTTGGTTTGCCAGTATATAGTCTGCTCTAAGAACCTGTTGACATAAGATGGTGTTCTCTCCCAATTTCCAGCTGCTGAATTCCATTTTAGTTTCTTACTGCTGCTTTTACTTGGGAATGCTGCACTCTATCACTGGTTAGAGGGGAATATTGCAGATGATATGAAGTTAGTGGTGTGGTTGATACACTTGAGGGAAGTGATGTCATCCAGGGGGACCTGGACAGGGTTTAGGAGTGGGCCAACGTGAACTTCATGAAAGTCAACAAGGACAAGTGCAAGGACTGCACCCGAGTTGGGGCGATTTCCAATGTCAATACAGACTTGGGGATGAATGAATTGAGAGCAGGCCCACAGGGAAGGACTTGGGGATATTGGTGGAAGAGAAAACGGATATGAGCTGGCAACACACATTTGCAGCCCAGAAGCCAACTGTATCCTAGGCTCCATCAAAAGAAGAGTGGACAGCAGGTCAAAGGAAGTCATTATCCCCTTATACTCCATGCTTGTTGACTCCAATTGGAATACCGTAACAAGTTCTGAGGTCCCCAGTACAAGAAAGACATGTAATTGTCTGAATGGGTCCACAAGAGTGCCATGAAAATGGTCAGAGGGCTGGAAGGTTTCTTCTATGAGAAAAGGCTGAGAGAATTGGAGAAGAGAAGGCTCTGAAGACGCCTTATTAGAGCCTTTCAATATATGAAGGGGGCTTATGAGAAAGATGAAGAGAGACTTTTTACCAGAGGTTGTAGTGACAGGACAGTAGGCAACGGTTTTAAACTGAAAGAGGGTAGATTTAGATTGGACATAAGAAAGAAGTTTTTTATGATGAGGCTGGTAAGCCATTGGAACAGGTTTCCTAGAGAAGTATGGATGCCTTATCATAGGAAGTGTTCAGAGTTAGGTTGGATGGAACTTTGCAGTAGATGATCTTTGAAGGTTCCTTCCAACTGAAACCATTTTGTGATTCTGTGGTTTACTGATCTATGCGTTGCAACAGCACAGCTGTCCATAGTATGTTCTCATTTTGTTATGTATGTATTTAAGGATTCGTTTGCTAAAACATCAGCTATGTGATACATTCAAATTCCTTACTTCCTTCCCCTTTGATTGTATCACAATATTGTTTGCACTTTTTAAGTATAATGCACTTTGCATTTTAATGATATTTCCAAACTTGTTTTTATGTAAGATTATATAATTTTATAAGCTGAAGAAACAGAAAGTATGAACGAAACAGAAACAGAATGGGACTAAATTCAGCCTAGAATATTATAAGGGGCTTAAAATTAGGCTGAAAAGGATGATAAATTGCAATTAAAAAAATAGTGAAGCAAATGGACACATCCATTATCTTCTATAATCAAAAGTATGAAATGCTGGATATGAAAAACAGAATTCTTGATGTAATAAGTTTAGCAGGAGAGATAGTTTGCAATGAACAGTTTCTATAAAAAAATACTAAGATGTTTTTCAGTTAGCAGGGAAGTTTTCTACAGTGGCCAAACCAGAAGCCAACTTGTCTAGTTTCAGCTGAGGTCAATAGGCATCTCCTCTCTGGTAGAATTAAGATCTTTGCAAGTCTTTCCTTTCAAACTCTCACCAAAACTATTTCTGATTAAGGGAACTCATACAAGTGCAACACAGCACTATTGCATCTACACAATGTTAGGGACCATGCAGAAAATATTTATTAATCTCTTATTCATCAACACATTTAGGAGTTTTCTCCCTGCTAAACTGAGTATGCCTCTTATTTTTATTTTCTTCCTTATTTTTTTTCTAAAATGCACTGATTTTAATTATCTTTCCCTCACAGGCTGCTTAAAAAACCTCAAAGTGCTCAATGTGAGTTTCAATAATTTGAAGTCAGTCCCTCCAGAACTGGGTGATTGTGAGAATCTGGAAAAACTTGATCTCTCTGGAAATATGGAAATAAAAGAGCTCCCGTTTGAAGTAAGATAAAACATCTTTTTTCTTTGGCTTATAAGATATCTTATCATAGTCTTAAAATCTTTTCTTAACTGATTAAATCACATTCTTTGCAGTTTTAAGCAATAACATTTTAGTACTAATATCACTGGAAATGCTTCAGCAGCAGTTAAACACGACCAAGTTTCTTTGTTTTGGTTTTCAAGTGACTAAATTTTGCCTGTATTTATTCTGATATATGAAGGAGGACATGATCCCAAGGGGATTTGTCCAGTGATGATAAAGAGAAGACTGCAAATAGCTATTTTCTGTGAAAATGAAGCGCATCTTGACAGTCAAATTCACATACTAACCTTCATTTGTTCCCCATGTTTTTCTTTAAAAGAATATGGAGAGTTCCATAAACAGCACTGCATGTTTCTATGAGCATAAACACCTGCTGAAACGGATATTACGTGTGAGGCATGACATGAATATATAATAAAGACTGAGAAAAGGACTTCCAGGCATGAACCAACATTATTTTTTGTGTTGGATGCGTAACTGCTGTCTGCCACAGCGGCTCTGAGGCTTATTATTCACGGAGAAATGAAACCATTGGCTGGTACCTAACCACTATTTCAGATGTCATCTGTATTTTTTAGGTTCTTAATATCCTGATTCCTGGAGAATGAGTTGGGGGAGCTTTAGGGAGCTGTGTCATGCTCTTCTTTGCTGATTTCTACTTTTTCTCTTAACATTTGTAAATGGTGATGTGATGTTAGAGTGGATTAAAGTTATGTGAGATTTGACCATGACTGTGTTCTATTCTGAGGAAATGTGAACAGTGATTAAATTTCTCCTCTGACTTTTCACTGTAAGATATTTGTCTGAAAAGAATAGTTTAAAAATGATGTGAAGTTAACAAAAACAATGAGTGAACATTAACTTCACGTCATAATTGGACAATGTATAAAAGTGCTAGCAGCAGCACAAACAGTGCAGGTCTCCTTTCTTCTTTCCTTCTCCTTCAGAAGGCAAAGATAGGAGATAAACCGCATGAAACTTAACTGCTTAAAAAGAACCATAATGTAATCCGAAAAACATACATCCTGAACAAGCAAAGGAATTAAATATAAGCAAGAGTAAGTATATTCAAACCTGTGGACTAGAATAGTGAATTTAGCCTCGATTGTTGGTGTGTTGAAATCATGAGCATTTTCCCAGTTACATCTAAAAGCCTTGTAGTGCATAGTCTTACCCATGTCTGTGCATTATGGGTAGCCTTTGCATGTAAACCAGCTGTGCATGTAAGTCTTTCAAGGGCTGAGAAACACTGAGATAACTTTCTCCTGGAAAGTGCAAAAGTGTTGTTCTCTTCTGGCAGTGTCCTATTCAGTGGGACTGAGAGCTACTAAAAGCACAGTACTTTGTGCTCACCAGCACAAAGCAGAGGAGGAGAATCACTTGACCTGCTGGCCACGCTTCTTTTGATGCAGCCCAGGATACAGTTGGCTTTCTGGGCTGCAAGAGCACATTGTTGGCTCGTATCCAGTGTTCCATCCACCAGTATCTCCAAGTCCTTCTTGGCAGGGCTGCTCCCAATCCTTTCATCCCCCGACCTGTATTGATGCTGGAGGTTGTCCTGACCCAGATGCCAGACCCTGCACTTGATTTTCTTGAACCTCATGAGCTTCACATAGGCCCACTCCTAAATCTTGTCCAGGTCCATCTAGATGGCATCCCATCCATCAAGCATGTCAACTGCACCACTCAGCTTGGTGTTGTCTGCAAATTTGCTGAGGATGCATTCAATCCCACTGTCTCTATCATTGTCATTGATGAAAATATTAAACTGTACCAGTTCCAATATGGTCCAATATGGTCTCCTGAGGGACACTGCTTGTCATTGATCTCCACCCAGACATTGAGCCCTTACCCACTACTTTGTGGATATGATTATCCAGCCAATTCCTTATCCACCTAACAGTAAGTATACCCATCAAATCCATATGTGTCCAGTTTAGAGAGAAGGATGTTGTGGGGGACCATGTCAAAGGCCTTACAGAAGTCCAGATAGACAACTTCTGTAGCTTTTCCTTTGTCAACTGAGGTAGTCATCCCATAATAGAAGGCCACTATGTTGGTCAGGTAGGATTTGTCCTTGGTGAAGCCATGCTGAATTAAACCACCTCCTTGTCCTCCACATGCCTTAGCATAGATGATCTGTTCCTTGATGTTCCCAGGCACAGAGTTGAGATGGAGAGATCAGTAGTGTCCAGGATCCTCCTTTCTACCCTTTTTAAAAATGAGTGCAAAGTTTTCCTTCTTCCAGTCACCAGGGACTTCATCCAACTGCCATGACTTTTTTAATATCTCAGAGAGTTATTTGGCAACTACCTAATTCTCAGGATTCTGGGATGCATCTTTTCAGGTTCTATAGACTTCTCTATGTTCAGATTCCTCAAGTGGTCACAAACCTGATCTTCTCTCACAGTGGGAGGTACTTTGCTTCCCTAATCTCTGCCTTGCAGTCCATCCACTTGAAAGATGTGGGAAGGGAGGCAAAAAAGTTGTTGAATACCTCAGCCTCCTTCTTGTTTGTTGTTACCAGTTTGCCAGTTGTGTCCGTCAGGGGGGATACACTTTCTTTGACCTTTCTTTTCTGGTGACATAACTGTAGAAGCCTTTCTTACTAATCTTTGCATCCTTTGCCAACTTCAGCTGTGCCTTGGCCTTCCTGACCCCATCCTTATCCAACTGGGCAGTGACCCTATACTCTTCTCCGGTTACCTGTCCCTGCTTCCACTGTCTGTGCATTTCCCTCTTGCTCTTTAGTTTGACCAGCAGGTCTCAACTCAACTGTGCTGATCTCTTGCATTCCTTTCCTGATTTCTTACACACATTTCTTTCTTTAAGCATACTTAAAGCATCCTTAAAGTTCTGCCCAGCTCTGTTCTGCTCCCTTGTCCCTGAGGGCAGCTTCACAGGGGTTCCTATTGACTAACTCCTTGAAGAGCTGAAATTTTCCTTTCCTAAAATTCAGGGTCCTGACTTTACTCTTCGCCTGACCCATGTTCCTCAAGCATTTGAACTCCGTCACTGCATGACTACTGCAGCCCAAGCTGCCTCCAATCTTGATGTCACTGAACTGACTTGTGTTGGTGACCAACAAGTCCAGTATTGCATCTCCTCTGGTAGGGCTGTCTCGAGTTACAGGAATAGTTGGTGCCATTTCACTGTTTACCTGAAACATATAGAATTATAATTGCCTGTCTTTTGCATCTTTCAACCATACTAAAATTAAAAAGCTGATGTGATTAAAGATTCATTAAGTGCTAACATTAGTCTCCTAAAATTTTCAAACACAGCAGTATCCAGAACAGACATAAATAACTTTTTATATATTAATACAATTTCAAAAGATATTTTAAAACTGAAGTTTAACACTTGGAAAGTTTTTGGTCTCTTCTGGTCTGGTTCTGTTTTTCTGACCAGTTCTATTTAACAAAGGAAAACATTTAGCAGAAAGGGCAGGCACAAGCTCTAGGCAAGTGCAGGGAGACTTCAAATAAATCCCCAGTGGGCCTTTCTGTATACCTGATTATGCAGGCAAGACACCAGCAGTCTCAAAAGATATGTAGAACAACAGATTGTTTTACCAGCATGTTATTCTTAAAAGCTGTACACTTCCAAGCCTGTTTCTTTCCCCTTCCATTTATTTTTTATGTGTGTAACAATTATGAAATGAAAAATACAGTCAGGGGGATGTACAGGACATTAATTTCCCAGGGATTTCACTATCCAGTCAGGCACTGGAAGAGCTCACCCTTAGCTCCTTCTTCTCCCATGCAATGGGATTATAAAGGACCTGTAAATTCTTCACATTTGTAGAATCTTTAGAAAGTTACAAAGGAGTCATGTATTGGAGTTGTTAAAAAATGCACTTTTTTTTTTGGTGGGTGTTTTTTAGGACCACAGAGCAGAGAGAAGTGGTGTAATAAAGTGCTTAACAGTGCCAACAGCATTAAGCCAGCCTCTGGTGAAATTCTTAATTTTAAATTATTGGCAAAAGTTCGTCTGTTTTTAATCAAACCAGCATTTCTCTACATATATTTTTCCAGTTGCTTGGTTTGGGTGCATTTCAGTTACACAAGCTGTCATCTTGCCCTTCTTTGCTCAGTGCTTTGAATTTGCTCAATGCTCACAATGAGTTGCTTTCCAATACAGTTGGCCAAAGTGCTGTCAATCCATGCAGAGCAACAGCTGCTTATAGAACTGGTGTAAGATGTAACATCAAATGTTAGCAGCAGGGGTGTGAAACTCAAAAGAGCAGGTGCAAAGGTGTTAGGTGTCAAAGGAGATGCATGAAGGCCTTACTGTTGCAGGGGCTCTCATAAATGTTTTAATAGACAAGGGGCTAAAGAAGGGTGTGTGTCTATGTTAGGAAACAGGATTATGTAGTTAGGCTTAGGAAAGTGTATCAGTTGATCCTGATCTTGACAGTGTACTTCCAAAGTCTACTAATTAATATAGCATCACTTCAAAACCACTCCACTATCAGAGCAAATCAGCAGCTAATAATAACAGCCCACTTCATTGGAGAACTGACCCATGCCTACCTCCATGCTGTGGTAGCCAGTGACCTTTCCTTTACCTTTCACATGAGTTCAATAAATGTAACATCACCTTTCATGGTCTGAAATTTTTTTATAGTTGGGAAGGACAGAGAAGTAGTTTTACAGCATAAGGGAAGACTTAACAATGAGCAAAGGGGCATAATATGAACACTTCAACATGCCTATGTTTTTACAAAAAAGCATGAGTCTCATTGTAAAATAACTCTGTGGTAGGAAGAGTGCCACTGTTTTCTCTAAAACAGTTCAAACTTTCTCTGAAAACAGTTCAAAATCTCTTTAAGTGCAACGGCAAAATAGGTTTTCAAAATCCTGATTGTATATCCTCCATTCATCAGTGACATAGTCTGAGGGAGAATTTGCCTAACTACTGAATGGAAGCAGAGAGGAAAACAAATACATAGCATT